GACACCAGGGATGCAAGTTATGTTGGCCATTTTCATGACCGTTGAAAAAAAAACATCGAGCAGCTGATCAAGAGATACAGCTTCGCGAATCATCGAGGACGCTTGTGGCACCTCTTCCAAGACACGGTTGATGTCTTCCTGGCCATGCACGTTCAAGAGCTCACTAAAAGGGGATGATGTTTCCTTCCCCCAATACACATGCAAGATGGCGGCATATATAATGCATCTCTACCTACTTCTAAAGCATATATACCCGATGACCGGGGCGTTGGTCCTTCAAACGACCGCATCCCCTGCATCCTGAGAGGTAGCTAACATGGCTCGTTGCTCCAGTTCTTGCCAATTTTGCCTTTTAATTCTTAGTAGGATCTTGTTGAATGATTTTAGTGCCATTATAGAGGGTTCTATTTTCATACCAAGTATCAATAATTCTGCCACAACTATACTGAAGCAGGTTCTCGAAGTGATCGACCGTGTCGGTCTCATAGGAAGTGGAATGAAGAGGTCCAATGTATGCACACTCATGTACATGCCCATGCAGCCCGTGGTGAATGACTTATAAGGTATTATTGTGCAATCAAGCTCGTTGACTGCCGAGTTTGAAATTGATCAGGGTCAAAACCAGCCACTTTTCAACACTCCGCTCTCAGTCTTGAATACAAAGCTTCTGAGGCATGGTATTAGCGTTTCCATTCAATCAACAAAAACTAGAAGTAGAGAGATATTGAAAAGAGCTGGAGTCCTGTGGAGGATAGGCAAAAGAGCAGTGTGAATCAGCAACAAAACAGAGGATCCAAATTATGAGAACTATACGGGGATGCCCTAACAAAATTGTATGGAACAAGAAAAGGTTGCCCTGGCTGGAAGCACACACCTATTATTTAAAACGGAAATAAAACGAAAAAAAGAACCCCCTCTCAAATTAGAAATGCATTGACTATCCCTCCAAGTCAAATCCTTCCTCAATCTCCCAAACGCCTCCATTAAGAATGGCTGATCCCTCAATCAATCTCTCATTCGTTTACATCAAGCGCCAATATCCATTCGTCCCTTGTCAAGAACAGCCCTCCCCCCTTCAGCGATGGCAGCGGGAACCTTGCCATCAAGCTCCCCAATCCCCGAGTCAGCGATACCGTCCTCATCTTCCTCAAACTCCCTATCTTCCACAAAGGGATTCTCCAACTTGTGTTTCCGTAGTCGGACCTTCATCTCATCTCGTTTTCGATTTTGCCATCTTGACAGCGCCGCACTGGCGTGAACGCGGAATCCAAAGACTCGCGGGTCGTATCGACGTAGGGACTTTTCGGGGAGGAATGCAGGATAGACTTGAAAGAGGATGCTGTGAAATGATGAGCCGAAGTATGCGCCGTCGATAGAGGCGTGTCGGGATGATTTCGGATTATATATATCTTCGCATTTGGCGCAGTAGAGTGAGACCGATTTCTCGCCTGGTAGGTCTGATAGGCCCATAGGGAGAAGGGGATGTTGGTTGCAGAGAACTCGCGGACATTTACCAAAATCGGCTTTCTTGTATTTTTCCAACTATAAATGGCTTTCGGTTAGCATTTAGCCTGGTGACCTCTCAGGGTTAGTACTGAGCTGTGTATATACCATTTTGGCTAACCCTCGTGTTGTGACAATGTATCGGGCGTGAACGAGTCCATAGAGATGTCGAGCTGATTTCTCGATTTGCTCTCGCAGGTCATCATCTGCGTCGAGGTCGAAAACATCCGTCACTAAATCGAGGGCATATTGATAATACTGAACTTCGTTATTCAAGCCCGTCAGGTTAAATCGATCCGTAAGGTACTCTTCGTCGATCTCACAAAAGTATTCGTTCCCTCGTGATGAAATGAACTGTAGATATAGAAATGAACAGGAGTTAGCCGAGTCCACCGTCCGACGAGGCGGTGATAATTGCTCTCCCCTCCATATTATTAACAAAAGAAGTAATGAACATTCCAACTTGGACGCCCTTCGCGGGACAAAAGGCACATTCCAGTCATATATTCTCCCAAATGCGCATGCCACACATCGAAGGGCATCACATCAAATCGCACGACTCATCTTCCGACTGGTCTCTATCGCCACTGTTCATCTTCCGCACACCGATTGTAGCCATATGGGACTTCTGCTAGCCGCCATCTGGTTGCAGAGCAATGCGATATATCCAGCAAGTGTAGACAGAACCGCACTGCGCTCTCCCGAAAAACCTCAATCTAAGTTCGCCAGTCCATGCAACAGATAGCACAGGAAAAAGAACGCTGGTATCACACCAGAGATTTCAAGGAGGGTGAAACCGAAATGAGCTTTTTATAATCAGGTTAAAAGAGATCATAAACTCACCCAGTCTCTCCAGTAACTTGTGTAGTCGCTTTCAGTCTCACTATTGAATTCCTCCATGTCTTTTTCTCCTCTCACACTCTCTCCGTCTCGTTTGTTCTTAGAAGGGTGTCCGATATCCCTACCAACGGTGGGTAATGGCCTTAGCGGTGGGTATATGACGAGAGAGGTGCTTTAGGGTGTTAGCGACCTGACGGCGAAGTGGATAGAAAGTAATACCGCTGGTTAAGATATGAGTAAATAGTAGTGAAGAAAATGGGCCACGAAATCGCCCAGGGATCTTATGAAAGTGGATTCAAGGGGGCTTTGGTAGGTAGGTTGTGCGATGTTTTTAAGGTCTGAAGTTCCGAGTTGCATAAATATAGGGCGGGGCACTTGGGGCCACGCACACGAGCGTTTATACACACTACCACGTGTCAGCCACTCTGAAGGATGTTAAATATTTGATTTTACACGAGGAGGAACCAATACTGATGTGAATCAAAGTTACAAACAGGAGACTCTCATTTCAGGTGTTGGATATATATGGCATATTTACTCTTTAGTATAAAATACTAGTATTCATAGAAAAATAGTTCTGGACAGAAAAAATAGCAAAACTAGCAAAACAAACAATAAATGAAAAAATACTGCGGAAGCCGTGGGTGGTTATTTTTGTGCTCGATCACACTCTTCAATAAAGTTGAAAATCCCTTGGAAACCGCCGTAGTGAGAAAAATTAGCGGCAGGGGACGCTGTTTCTGCCAAGTCGGGAAAAAGGGCGCGATCACCTAACTCGCTGATGCTCATGCTAGAGTACCCTGACGATATTCGAGAAGAGGTCCATGGATTATATTCGTCCTTTCCCAAAAAATGACAGTCTTGGCAAGCTATACCAGGTGAGGATTCTGTCAATTCCTCAGAAAGCATCATATGGCGCCAGTTCAACATGTCGGGAGATTTATGGCGGTAGTTAGCAACTGGAAACAGTTCTGAATCAGATTCTACGTGGCTGGGCGCAAATGGAAACAAAAGTGCCATTTCAGTTCCATTTCGTGTCTCAAAATCCTCATCCTGGCGGATGACGCCTCTTTGAACGCCTACTTCGTCACATAAGCGTTCGACAGATTCCACATCGCAGCCGGGAAATCGTACCCGTAAGGTAGATTGATCGTGGAGCGATAACGGCAAGTCCCCTAGCGTCGCAAGTCGCTTCAAATCATTCAAAACTGCGGCAAAATCCTTCAACGCACGAGCGAAGTCGATGGAAAGGAAGTCCATCAAGTTGTCAGTATTCAAGTTAACCGACTCAATAGTATCAGCAACGGATGGCTTTTGTAGGGATGCCAAGCGAGCAAATGTAGTGATAGTTGGGGACAGTTTAAAATCAATGTAAGACCCAGGGGCGTTTCGAGGGATTGCCTGCATTTTGCGACCCGCCTCATCCTGGAGAACCGTTACTGTCCGGTACTGCTTCCGGCCAGTTTTTTGATCTACCCCATCAAACCTGGCTCTCTGGCCCGAAAGCCAAAAGGCGCGAACTCCAGCGGATACATTTTGAACAACTTGTGCTGGGCACGCGGGGCCATTAGAGAAGTATCTCGCGCCACCAAGACGTCCCGCACCGAGTGCATACCCGCCAGCAGTTCGGCATAGTGTACCACCTGTGAGATTGGGTCGGAGGGTCGATGCGAAGGGACTTCGTGTAGTCAGACGGTTAACCGCTGCGCCAATTCTCGTTGCTTGGAATGCGCGTCTAACAGAGCGAGCAGCGACGTTTGAAGTGGAATAATAACGACTTTGCGTCTGATGGATAGCAGCTATCCTATTGACTGGCTGGCGACGGGATATGCGAGAATATATAGGCTGGTAAGCAAGACGAGCAGGTTCAACTGGTTCTGTAACTCTAGACTTGACGGCTCTGGTTGCTTTTTCGAAGGCGAATCTAATCAGCACAGTTAGGACAAGGGCAACCAACAAATACAAAAGGATTGAAATTGTACCTAGCGACCCGCCAGATTTTGGGGAGCAGTTGATGGCCACTTGATGGCGCCATGACTGCCGCTGAAGACTTCTTCCAGTTCAGTGAGTTGAGCTCAAAGGGGGGAGTGATGTCTGCCTGATGTAATTGCGGGTGCGCCGGGGACGCTAGTCCTAATATAGAGTGGTAACATCATACCGAGGCATCACTGTGATTTCGGATTAAATATCATCCGCCCACTACCATGGACATTGCAGATTTGCCCCTAAGCGTGGCTGCCCGGTGTAGAATACCTTGAAGCGTTAAAATAACATGTCCTCTGGATTTGTCAGTGGAGGTACCATTGAGGAGCCCACCGAGCGAGACGATGAATGGTTGAAGGCTCATCAAGAGCTCGAAGCGGAGCGGAGACGCAAGGTTGAAGAGAGTCAGCAGGACAAGGGGAAGAGTCTCTATGAGATTCTGCAGCAAAATAAGGGTCCGTGAATAACATGCTCTCTCAGAGGCATGTCTGGAATTAAAGCTAATTCTGATTCTTGACAAACACAGCTGCGAAACAGGAGGCATTTGAGGAGTCCATCAAGCTCAAAAACCAGTTTCGATCGCTCGATGAGGATGAGGTGGAGTTTCTGGATTCCATACTCGAATCGACTAGGGCCCAAGATGCAGCTTTGAAACGAGAAACTAGAGAGCAATTAGAGATTTTCCATCGTCAACGTCAAGAAGCAGAGAGAGCTTTGATTGGTACCGGCTCCGGCGGCCTTAACAGTGGGGAGGCAACGTTAACTGCAGATGAAGAACAATGGACCATTAGTGGTCGAAAACGGAGAAGAGCCAAAGAGAAGGATGCGATCCCTGGCGTCAAGTTGAGGAAAAGCTCATCTGCAGGTGTCAGCTCAATTGCCGCTAGCAAGGAATCACGATTGACTTTGGACTCAGCAGAGATGTCCAAAAGCTTACAAAACCCTGATATTTCTGTGAGGCCCCGGAATGCCGCGAAACCCGAAAGTACCGACAAGTCCGGAAGACCTACAACTACAAGTGCCAAAGTTATAGACCATTCCAGGGAACCAAAGGAGGACGCGGTACCACATGTCGTCTCATCAACGCTTGGATTGGGTGCTTACAGTTCTGAAGATGATTGATGTTCCCGAGAGAGTCTCTCCATTTTAGCGCGTCGTCCCCAATGGGCAATGCGATGTTGTTAATCCCGTTCAGCGGTTTAGTGACTCTCACACAAACCTAATCCTGCCCTGGCCGCCGTATGGTACTAATCCAGGGCTTCGTAGAAGTTCTTTTCTCAGCCGTCTTTAACCTCATTTGTGCAATGCTTATAGGGCCAACGGGGCATAATTCCACCTTACTCTGTATATTGGGCAATGTAAATATACCACTCAATAACGTGCAGTCTTCGTCGTTAACTTAGAACGTCTTCAAAACTATCTCAACTTTTCTCTCAGGCTCAGAGGATGCGAGTTGCTTCTTGTGCATTTTTGCGATGAATCAAGGGACAGCTGGAGAATGGCACATATTGCTTTCAACGGCGTATAAGTTGTTACGGACAACACATTGTTATTTGAAAAATTGAATACGGTACGAAGTGAGAATTGTGACGCGTTTTCCCCGGTGTTTGTAACTATTACACCTTCTCTCAGATCGAAGCAACTTGGTGGAGTTGTCCCTGCGAAGGTAGCGTATTTATGGAAATTGACCAGAGAGCGGCTCAGGGATGCTCCAATGACCTATTACAATATCCCATTTTTGGTCTTTTTAAGCAATCCCCTAGGGAATAAAATGAAATTCGCAAGACTGGCATTGCTCTTGCCATCATTTTCTTTTTTTATACGCCGTGAAACAGACTTCGTGGCCACATCGGTTGTTTGTGAGCTTCCTAGGGGGACTTAGGTCTACAGCGGTTGTTCGTGAAATGGTTGGAGAATCGGTGGTTACGGCCTACCAAATACATGACTTAAATACAATACCAATATGGATTAGGGTTGACATGCTTGTCGTCAAATATGTAGTCCGTATCAAAAGAGGGATGGGGCGACGGTGGTGCACTGAGCGAATGCCAATGAAGCCGGACCTATCCTAAGGCAGGATAAAGATACGAAACGGTGAGGTTTTAGCATGGAAAGAAGAACGGGATAATCCACCAGTTGCATTTCCCTTGCGTAGCACGCGTTAATCGTGCCAACACGAAAATGAACTAAACTTTTCTGCCCGTGGACTGAACAGAACGAGTTAAAAAGTCCTCGATGCAATGGCAGCAATTATCCGACAAAATGAAAACACAATCACGATTAACCAGAGAGGATTTTTGTGGAATTTCGTCTCGAAAAGTCTTCTTTTAGACAACAGGCCCTGTAATCTCACATAATTCATAAAATTGTTTAAATCCCATCAACCGAAAAGTGCTCCCCAATTCCCAGCTCAAAATAGAAAAATCAACCTCCTTGACACCAATACCGAAATTGAAAGTCATCAGTTTATACAGAAATCCCTGCTTAGCCGTACACCACGCCAGTGACGGTTCCATCTTCGTCGACGTGCACATTCAACCTATGCAGAAGAAGAATCAGCAAGGGTTCTAGAAATATCCGTAGAAATATATTCGTTTAAAAGTAGACAAAATCTAAGAAACGGCACGGATAACGGGTTTATGCCCAAAAAAAAAAAAAAAGAAAAAACTAAAAATAAAAGCTAATCAATTGCAATCGGGGTTCTCACCTATCTGGCTTATAATCCATCGTCATGGCCATGCCCGGCTTAATCACACGGTGCACCGCAGGCAAATCTTTCATTGCAAACGACTATAGAGGATATTGAATGAGAAAAAGATATACCGGACCCAGAAGGTTAAGGGTAATGATATAGGCAAGATAACTCACCACATTGTTTGATGTTGAGTCAGTCAGCTTCTTGCCAAGTAACTTGGCCTCCCAGCTTGCCCTTTCATTATCGCTGACGTCGGGAACGACGAGCGGCATGTTCACAGGTTTGTGCGAGGGGGAAGTTTTCAATTCTCTTGACCGTACGGTTATAGTAGTTAATGGACGTTTAGTTTGTCTGAGCTTTTGATAGACTTTGAAGTTGATAGAGTTGAGGTAAGACTGGTTAGATCCCATCTCTCCACGTTTTCTTATTGCATTCAGCTGTCAACAACCTCGGCGAGGGCGGAGGCCGGATGACGTAATAGCGCTGTCAAACCTTGAAACACGTTTCCAAATTCCAATTAGTGATGATGTCAGATAATACAAGAACCACCGAGAAACTTCCGTCCAGAGCCAGAGCGGGATGAAGCAACTCTCACCACTCAGCGGCACTCTCACCCCCACGTCACTTGCAAGTTTCAACTCGGGATGGGGTAAGGATCGGGGCTTACGGCTAGTTGATGCGCTCGGCCGTGAGAGACCTACTATGTACGCTGGAACTCAGGAGAAAGAAACAACACAAGGGGAATTGAAATATGACTGCCTGGGTACTCGGAGTGGAGGATCCGTCCTTTATTCAGGACTCGAAATTTGGCAGACCCCTTGGAGCGCTTCCTAGCCAATCGGCATTATGGGGCCAGAAAATTTCTCTTCACCAACATTTCTCCAATAACTTTCCGCCCAAAAGCAACTTCAAAATACAACAAAATTTGCAATGATTAGTACAAGCCGCAATCGCTCGCTTGCGCTCGCTTATCCAGCTTGAAAACGCGCCGTTTAATCCCTCGGGTGAACGTAATGAGATATCCAACGGCTGCACGTGACTCATATAGGTGAATTCCATGTAATCTACAGCTGTCAATAAAAAACAATCACATGGATCATGTTGCTGTCTGTACAGAGAATAGCCATCAACAGCTGTAGCACTCTGAAAAGTCTTGAGAAAATGTTTCATACATCTGCCATTCTTATAGCAGAGGCTCACCACATCAGCATTACATGAATTATAAATCATGAATTTACAGATCAATTCATTCAATTTGCTTGTATTCTCAGCAATGCTTGACAGCTCTGCAGATATAATCTCATTAATTATTTCAGACTATAAAAATTACTCAGAGTTCTTTAATCAGATCAACAAATGTATATGAAGCAATTCATATTTTTAATATTCAATTATTCATACTCTGATCAACATCAGTTCAAGCAGCTGCTTAGATTTGAGAACATCAAGAAAATAAAAAACCTTTATTGTAAAAATATATACAATCAAATCTGAGCAGTCTGCTGCAATCTGATCAAAAAGTAATTTATGAATAATTTTTTTTCATTTAGAATTAGCTGTAAATGTAATGAAAAGAGTTGAGTGTTTATAATTGAAGATAATTATTATAAAATTCTGAAACAATTTATACATAAAACATTCATTGTCTGTATAAGAAGTAGATAATATTATATAATAATCAAACTGCTCACAATTCATATCATCTGTCTGTATAACATCACATAGATCACTATATTGATCAACATAGATTTTTAATTAATGAGTATAAATTCAATTCAATTATTATTCATCAATATTAATATAAACATCAATTAAATACTGCTGAAACAGACATTCAATCTAAAAAAGAGAAGCATCAACATCATTTTATTGAAAAAGATGATATGTATGTCATATACATAGAGTCAGATTATAACTGTCACATTCATCTTCATTTTCAACAGCATCATCAACATCATCATCAGATTGTTGCAGATAGATGAAAGGTTTGCAAGCACATTCATCTCAATATATCAATTATGATCTTCAAAAAAAAAAAAAAAAAAAAAAAAATGTAATATAGTGAAAGATATAATGAATTGTTAGAGTTAATATATATGAAACTCAAATTAACATTGAATTGTTATAGTGTTAGAAAAATGATATAAAAATGATGAGTGTTGCTGAAAATATTTTGTATAATAATTACAATCCCTGAGACAATAAACAAATTCTCACAGCAGTGGTCATTGTCTGTCTTCAATTATACAACAGAGTTTAAATCAACATATATGTAAGAGATGGGCTACAAGAGTAATTACAAGAGTAGTGTGAAGTACGCACAAAGGATATTAAGAAGGTAGCAATCTCTATTGTTCAAAGCTAATCGCTGATCTCCTAAAATCCACGGATATCAGCGAGCATTATATAGATAATATTGCCATCGCCACGTATCTATCGCCACGTATCTATTTCCTAATATAGATATCTCCGTTGCGCCTATTACAATTATCTCCCTTCTTCAAAGGCCTGGTCCCCAGGGCTTCTTATTGTGCGAAGTTCGTAATATGTGCTGCGTGGTTGATATTGTATAAAGTTCGCAGGATAGGACCGAATTAATTGTTCGGGTTAATTCCGAAGCGTTGCTGACTCGGGAAAACGTTGTTCCAGTTCCGGTGTTATCGCGGTCCAATCATGATTTAGGCACAACCCCTGAACCCCTTTCCTTTAACCTTTACACCACAAATCGTATCCTAACGAGATCATCACCATCATCACTAACAACGATTTTTATTTATTTAAAAGAATACACCAATTGATCAAGCAAAGTACGCTGTATCTTCCCATGCGATTTTTATTGCGACATTCGAAGTTTTGGTTGCGTGGTTGCGTTTTCTATTTTGGGTCGGATTTTGTGTTGCTGCAACTTCTTTGATCGATATTGCAATATTGGTTTTATCCACCAACATCTGTTCTTTTCTTGCTGCTTCTTGCCTCTTCTCTCTTCTTAAAAGGTTCTTGATACTGATTAATGTCGTAATAGAATGTCAGAACCAGCTGCTTCCGTTGCCGGTTCAGAACCTATGGAGGGTGATATGCTGAATGCCATCGAGAGCATTTGCTTGGGTTGTCTGGAAAGGTTGCAAAACCCTCTAGTATACCCTTGCTTTGTGAACGACGGGCGGACACGCTGTCACGCCTGCCATATATCGAATACTGGGCAAGGATCTTGGTGCGTTACTTGAGTTATCCGATAACGCTGGCGAAGATGAGGAAGCGGACGGTCCCGTTGAAGTGTTAGAAAGGAACGCAGCAGCATATTGCTGTCGTTGTATTCGACATTTAACAACGTCTCCCCGCCATCACTGTGAGCCTGCTGAGGGTCGACGCAAGAAATGCAAGCACTGCTCGGTGACGAAGCACGTTTGCGTTCCGGTAAGTCATTGTTCTATATATGTTTTGCAGGATATAAAATAACTCGTGTTTGGTGCCAGCAGACGCCGTTGAGTTGGCCCAGGCAGCTATCAATGCAGCTGAGGATTTAATTGTCGCTGGTGCAGACGCTTCGAACGTTAACGTTTTACAGGGCGCTGTGACAGCTGCAGTTAAGTTCTTCGCAGCGAAGATCCGTGGGGCTCAACGAAATGGTTCCCCTGAGGCCCCGGCTGAAACAGTGATTGGTGAGATCCCGGTGGCTACATCGCCGGTCGCAGCTCCCAAGTCATCGTTGAAACGTCGTGCTTCGCCAGTTGAGGAAATCCGGGGTAATAAGCAGGTCTGCCTTGGTGACAATTCCTCAAATGACACTGGCCAAGCTGAGGCGGATCTGTTTTTTAATCCCTGGGCGGAATAAGTATATCCAGCAGTCATCGTCGCCTTCTTCGTTTTCGTTTACTGACTGGCTCCTGATAGGTTTTATTAAACTGTTCCAAGTGCTCCTGGCTGTTCACCAAATTTTCTTCAGGTTCCCAAGAATTATCCGCGTCTGTGCAATCCTTCCATTTAACAAGATATTGCGTTTGACCACGGTACTGACGTTTATCCAATATAGCTTCAACTTCCCATTCCTCCTGCGCGTCTATAATTATCGGTTCTGCCTGTGGGATCTGTCCGTCGCGCGCGTGATACGGTTCGAGAAGGGAAACGTGGAACACGGGATGAATTCCTTTATATTGTGGCGTAAGCTTCAGTTTGTACGCCTGCGTACCGCGTATATCAATTATTTGGAAGGGACCCAAAAATCGATGATCTAGTTTGGGTGAAGGTCGCAAGGTGGATATATTTTTTGCACGCAGCATTACCCAGTCCCCTATCTTAAAGCTTTTTGGTATATGGCGCTGATCATAATACTTTTTCTCAGCTGCTTTGGCAGCTTCTAGGCATTCTCGAATCCTGTTTTCCGCTTGCTTCATCCGTTCCACTTGTTCTATCGCCGACTTTGACGCGCCCGTGCTTGGGGGTTCCACGTCTATACGAAGTTCAGTTGGTCGGCCGATCATCGTTATCGATGCGTGGAAGGCGTTATTATATGCCCATTGCGCCAGGGGAATCCACTCTATCCAGTTATCCTGCTGGTAGCTGCAATATGTGCGAAGATAATGTTCAATCACCTGGTTCAATCGTTCCGTTTGGCCGTCGGTTTGCGGATGGAAGGCTGTTGATAATTTTCGTCGGACATGGAGTAAGTAACATAATGTTGACCAGAACTTGCTGTTTATTAATGAATCTCGGTCGCTAATAATGTTCGCAGGTAGGCCAAAGTTTTTCGCAAGTTTCCATACAATAATGTCCGCGAGTCTTTCCGCATCTAGCTTGAAGATGTGGGTACAATTACGGCCCATTTAGTGAACAAATCAACAAATATGACAATAGCATTATAAGTTTGACTTCCCTTCTTATTATCTGGTAGGCCTTCAATAAAGTCCATACTGATTGTATGCCATTTCTTATCTGGCACTGGATGTGGTTGTAGCAACCCGTACGGCTTATGCCGCGGTATCTTGACGCGTCGGCAAACATCGCAGGTCCTCACATATTCTGCAATCTCATCGCTCATACCATGCCCCGAGTACTTGCGTTTGATCGCTTCGATGGTTTTGTCACGTCCAAAATGGCCACCTTGGGGATCATCGTGGTTCATTTTCATTATTTCATGCCTTACGGCCTTGTCTTGCGGTACGTAGACTTTACCATCTTTCCTGAGCAGGCCATCTTTGTCTACTGCCCAGGTCGAACGATCACCTACGCTAGCGTCACCCACCTCTAGTCTTCTGCGAAGTTCAGACGTGCCAGCGTCCCTATTCTGAACCTGCAGCAAGAGTTCGACAATAGATTCAGCTACCTCTTCGCGATAGGCTGTCTCGGACTCAAATACCTTAACGGCTAGAATCCGTGGCACCAGGGTCCCTAGGTCTAACCCCGTAACGCCGGCGACTTCGTTCTCATCTGCAGGTGCGTTCTTTATCCTGCAGGGTTTGTTGTCATCGATGACTACGGGCCCCTTCGCCCAACAATTTTCTTTAACTTGCAGATTTTTTCGCACCATCTTGACACATTGGTCTAACTTTGTGTTTTCTTTTGTCTTTAGTGACTTAAAGATCCCCTTACGCAGCTTCTCTTGCAGGGTAGGGAGCCCCGTCAAGGGAGCTGCGTGTTTTATATAATCTGAGCGACGACTTGGTGCATCTGCGGGATTATTTTTCCCAGGATGGTGCTCAATTTCAAAATCGAACGCTGAGAGCATTTGCATCCAACGAATCTGACGCCCATTTAGCTGCTTCGTCGTCATGAAGCGCCGGAGGTTGGCATGGTCAGATAAAACAACTATTGGGTGCCTGCTACCATGTAGGTAGTGGCGCCATTGCCTGAAAGCTTCTACAATCGGCAACATTTCTAAATCATATGTTTGATAACGTCTTTCTGCTTCTGTGAGTTTTCTGGACCAAAACGCGATCGGGTGCCAGTGACCATCATCCATTAATTGCGATATTACTGCGGCGATTGCAACGCCAGATCCGTCCGTTTCTATACGGAGTTTTCGCTGCGGATCAAAATGAACTAACAACGGTGCTTCTGTAAAGCATTCTTTTAACTGCAGTATTGCGTGCTTGCAGTTCTCGTTCAGTTGGACAGGTGCGTTGTTCTTCCCCTTTTTTGTTTCGTATCCTTTTAGCAACTCAGTCAGGGTGCCGTTATTATCGAGAACTTGTATATGAATCGTCGGTAGAAGTTGGCGAATCCTAGGAATGTTTGCAGCTCGTTTATTGTTCGCGGTTCAGGCCAATCTAGGATCGTATCGACGCGGCGTTTTTCGACAGTGATGCCCTGCGTGGTAATCACAAAACCCAGAAATCCAATTTCTGTTGCATGGAACGTACACTTACTAAGTTTCACATATAGTCTCCATCGCCTTAAACGTTCCAGCACATTCTTAACATGGGCGACGTGTTCGTCAAGCGTATTCGAATAGATTACGATATCGTCAAGATAAGCTACGCAATATACGTCCAAAATATCACTGAGGGCCTTGTTGATATAAGATTGGAAAGTCGCAGGGGCGTTGGTTAGCCCAAAGGGTAAAACCAGATACTCAAAGTGTCCGTATCGTGTTCGAAATGCCGTTTTCCATTCATCCCCCGCTCGTATGCGGATTCTATGATACGCGTCCCTAAGATCCAATTGCGTGTATATTTTGGCACCTGCTAATCTATCGAGTATTTCACTTATCAGGGGCAGCGGATACCGATTCTTGACTGTTATTTCGTTCAACCCTCGATAATCTACGCAAAGACGCAGGGTTCCGTCTTTCTTCGGTGCGAATAATACTGGCGCACCGGCTGGGCTCTTGGACGGGCGTATCCAATTCTTCTCTAATGCCTTATCAATATATTCTCGGAGGACGGAGAGTTCTTGAGGTGACAGGTTATATATCGGTCGGTACGGTGGTTCCTTGCCAGGTTTGAGATCTATGGCATGATCGTGGGGTGCGTGCTCCGCGTCAGGTATATCTTCTCGGAATACATCAAGATAATCCTTATAATCATCCGGGATATTTGGCTCAGTCGCTGCGTGCGCAGCTCGCAATGGAAAGGCGGCGAATATAATGTTGCTGTTGTCCATTAAAGTTGCAAATTCCTTAGCGGTATCTAGGTGCACGTGGCTGATATTTGACGCTTTCCTATAGGTCCAGCATCTTCGCACCCAGTCAATGTCGGGGTTCGCAGCTTGCAACCATGGCATACCCAGAATTACATCGTATCCACTGATGTCGGCTTCTTCGAAATGGTGGAATCCTTCCCGGAGGACATGTTCATCATCGATAATCTTCATTGCAGCTTTTCGTTGTCCATATGATTTAACCCTATGATTATCAACTGCTTCCACTACTTTCGGTTTACCTTCTGACTTCGAGAAATATTTCGATGCCCAAGCATGGGACACGAAGTTTGCATCCGCGCCAGAATCTACTAACGTCCACGCCATTGACCATCCCACTTCTGTCAACATCCAGGTGTTCATTGCCAATAAGTGTTTATCTCGCAGCCTAGTCGTCTGTATTCCCAATGCAGCAGCTGCTCCTACGATTGGGATTGCTAGTTTTTTGCTTGTCGGACTTGGTTGCGCTTTTCGGGGTATAACATCCAACAATCGTTTGCGACATGCCCCTTCTTATGGCAGTGTGAGCACTCCTTCATCCAATTATATTTATCCTTCTTGGTTTGTTCAGTTAAACTCGTCTGTTCCTCTCGTTTCCTTTTATTCCGGCGGTTGCTAGATTTATCAGAACGACGCTGATTCCCTACGAATATCGCAGGTCTGCCTTTGCGAATGGCGCGTCGTCGCTCCGGCATATTTTCCTCGAGAGTCTGTAGAGTTCGAAGCAACTCTTCGTAGTTCTGGGGTTCTTGATTTCGACGGTCGAGTTCGGTGCGTAGCACCTTCAATGCCTTACTACGCAGGTTATCCATTCTCTGTTCCTCGCTGTATGGGGGTAAGTAATGCTCCCAATCTTCGAGATATTTAGAAAAGTCGCGTATCGATTGCCACTCCTGTTGCTTAGCATCTTGGAATCTTTGGCTCGCCAATCGACGCTGATTCTGCGGGTCGTTAATTTGCATCTCTAGGTGTGATAGCATATCGTCGAATGTTAACGGTGTTGCTCCTCCGCGTCTCTCGTATGCTGATACAAAATTCAACCACTTCTGCTTAACGTGGGCATCAAGGTAGAGTTTGGCGTCGTTTATCTTGCGTTCTTCTTTTCGATAATATCGACGGTGGCGTGCAAAGAGAGTCAACATGCGATCTTTATAGTCCTTAAATTCTAACATATTCTTTCCTCGATAGTAATCCTTAATCTCCAATCTCGGCGGTGTTTCGTTATCATCATCCATATTGTCTACGGGTCGATTTTGCGGCGGTTCTGCGGCGATATCCGGGGTTGGTCGGGACTCGATAAAAGTATCTTCGCGAATCTGTGCTTCCAACTCGTTGAGGCGTTGTTGCGCGTGCAGAATAGCTAACTGTTGCTCTCGTTCACGGATTTGATCGTTTAACTGTTGCAATCGGGCATTGTGGTCGTCGGAGGTGGTAGAGGATTCGGGTTGGTTCCCAAGGGATCTTGCGCGTGTCGAAACCATCTTGCGTGTTTTAAGTTGCGTGTTTTAACTAACGTTGCGTGTTTTGTTGTAGGTGTGCGTAACAACGGACCACTCAAATAAGGTTTAGAGCGATTAGAATTGTAAGAGATGGGCTACAAGAGTAATTACAAGAGTAGTGTGAAGTACGCACAAAGGATATTAAGAAGGTAGCAATCTCTATTGTTCAAAGCTAATCGCTGATCTCCTCAAATCCACGGATATCAGCGAGCATTATATAGATAATATTGCCATCGCCACGTATCTATCGCCACGTATCTATCGCCACGTATCTATTTCCTAATATAGATATCTCCGTTGCGCCTATTACAGTGTATTTTTAATGCTATAGTATTTGATTGCAAAATAGTAATTCTCAATTTTACATTTTTTTATAACATTGAATTTCATTTGTATAAGACTGCCTTGGAAAATCTTATGCAATTGATTGCTCAGATGAGATGATTTGAAATTGAATATATTCTTCATATTTTGTATTGTTTTTTTTATTATTTAAATATAATATTATAGCTTCTCAATTGTCTTTGAAGAGGATAGTTGTGAAGAGGCAGTAATTGAGCAGTTTGATTGAGAAGAAAAAAAGTTATTTTCTTCATATATTCACAGTTCAAAACAATCAGAAATCTTAAAATTTAACTTATTAAATATAAATGGTAAATTGAAAGAAATGATACCACAACTCACAAAATCAATTTGAATAATAAAGAGTTGAAAGATCTTTTTACAAATGTCAATTAGATTTTGTAAGAACTAATGTTTTTTATATTACCCATATTCATATCAAACAATTTAATTAACAATTTTTGAATGATAATATTTATATTATTGAAATGACACCCCATCTAGCAGTTGTAGTATATGAGTTGAATGTGAAGAAAATTCATATAAAATAATCTTGTGAAGATTGCAGTATTGCAGAAATTCTTCAGTGAAATGAAAGTCATAATTATCAAGAAACAGTAATTAATGATTGTTTTATTAATGTTTTTTAATAATTTTATTAAAATACTGAATTTAAATAAAGTCAATCTCATCATTAATATAGTCAGTATTTGACATTGTAATTGTATATCCACTCAGTAGATTGTTTTGTGTATATCAATCTTTGAAATAAGTTTTGAATTTTATAATGATGAAAAGATTCAATATTTCATCATTTGCTGAAATACACTCAATCATAGTGATCAATTCTTGAGAATATGAAATTATAATTGAATTCAAATTTTTAAAAATAGTAATAACTTATTCTTCACATTCTTGACCTTTTTGAAAATCAATCTCATCAAAGTTGTAAATATCACAGATTTGAAATGTGTACTTTTAAAATAAGATTTTCAAATAATCAAATCACATTTTAATGTAATTAATATTTTTTATATCAATTTTTTTCAGATTCATTGTCTTCTGCTTCACTCTTTTATATTCATTCAAATTTTTTATATATTGATAGATTCACATCTTGCTGATCACAGATGAAAAGATTGAAAAATCAATTTAATAATATTTGAAAATGAGATTTATTGTAATGTGACGGCGCCGAGGCGGTTGCTACTCGGCAGCGGCACAGAGGAGGATGGTATATAATGGGAAGCCTTATGGGTGGGCTTGATTATCTCGCTTGAACCGCGAACTCGTAGAATACTATACAAATACTGAACTACCAGAGGTACTCGGCACACTAAGAATATTGTATGGGGACAGTGGTAACTCTGGTATCTTATTGTCAAAAGATAAAAGACGAATCGCTGGCTCCTGGAATAGAGAGCCAGCATCTAGCTATTCTATATAGACAACGGGCAGCCATCCTCCCCTCACTCTATGAGCGAGGGTAGCCGAAGCAACTCCGCAGTGGCGCTGCATTGAATCTGCCAGAAGGAATCTACTGACCCCGTATAGAAACAGGTTTCTCATATCCCATCAATCGGATCCTCTTCTATTGCATCCGAATGATGTCATAGGGTGGTTGGAAACCGGTTCGGACACCTGCGTGACGTCATGGGATAGATGGGATTATCCGAGGGGAAGCGATGGGCCGTGTGGAGCCGTCACGGGGCCTTGGCACAACCAAGGGTGTGACATTTATATTATTTTGAATCTACTTTATAATTGATGAGTAACTAATTATTTTTGTTTATATAAACTATTCACTCTTTCAATACATTCTTCTGACTCTTGCTAAACTTCTTATTCAGTGCAATCTTTGCATTGCATGTTTTCTTTCCATTGATTCTCACTCAAAAATGTTGATAAGGAATGTTGAATTTGTGCATCAGAGATAGGTTTTTTTGTTTTTGATTGTCATTATAAACTTCAATAACATTTTGAATATGTTTTTCAATATCATCCATCTTATTGGTCTTGATGGTGATGATATATTAATATTTGAAGATTGATTAATGAAGAAGTTGATATTTTTATCATTACGCTGTTTTTATCATTACAGTGTGGCGCACCCACATCAGGTGTGGGTGCGCGCGGCACGATTATAGCATAACATCAATGAATAATTGCGGGATGTGTAGTAGAAGATGATTCAAGTACTGGTGTGGGAGTGAGAGATTGCTATGTTGTAGTGCCCTCAAATCATCTCTACTATTGTACCACCTGAATCTCCATAATCATCTGGCAATCTCTCCCCTCAAGAAACGATTCATGGGTAGGAGACAGTGATTGCGTTATATGATGATAGAAATTCAATTGGTAATATAGATGAGAAGATTGGAAAGAAGAGAGATTGCAAAGCTAACTGTGAGAAGCAAGTAGATCACATTACGCTGTAGAACATGTAAAACCCATTTTTCAATTATACTAGTATGTTTGGACGTCAAGGCCGCGCAGAGTGGAAATGGCTATCGCCAAGATGGAAGGGGAATTTGTTGAACATGTACAGGGGGGTGGAAACTATTAGGCCTCTAGGGCAAAAGAGCTCAATCACCACCAGCGCCGTGGTGGTATAGAGGGTACGAATCACCCAATCCAATCCCCTCAACAGAAACTAAGTCTCTCCACGGGCTAGAAACAATAAGGTAGCGGGTAATAACTGGCTGTAAAGTTATACCACAAGGCCCAAAACTTCTGCAATGAGGACTGTATACTTATTTGAGTGAGCTCTTTGTATTGAGAACTTCCATTTATATTCCTGGCATGTACAAGGACTTATTTTCCGCACCTCCATACTGTATATACTTTCGATGTGCCAACAGAAAGGTCGATATCTTGATAATGGAAATTTACCGCATCCCTGTGTGTCCCTCTGACACCAACGTACATTTCGACATAGAAAATAATATTCTCTACGAGGTTTGGCGTTCAGATATCCATAGTAGTAATAACAATAACCCTACCTATAGCTAGCGGGTAGAGCACTTTAAGTATGAAACTGGGTGCAGTGGGCAAAGTAGCCCTTACATAGGCATGGAGGGAATAACACTAAATTGGTTGGGGACGAAACGGGATTTTACCTTTGACTTACTTACCATAGGTGGGCAAGAGCAAACTTGCCCCTCCATTATTTAAGTACAAGATGCACCCTTAGAACACAAAAGCCACTTGATATAAAAAAACCACTTGATATAAAAAAAATGTCATCAAAAACCATAATAATTACAGGTTCCTCTCGAGGCATTGGCCTTGCCGTCGCCCACTACCTCCTCCGCCTCCCTGCCTCCCACAATCTGATCCTCCTTGCCCGTTCACGGCAACCCCTCCAGCAGCTACAGGAGCAATACGGTCCTAACCGTGTGGAGATTCTCACTGGCGACTTTGCTACGTCCTATTATTCTTCCCCATCATTACTGTCACTGCCTGAGCAGGCGGTAGAGGTAGCCTTGAAACAGTTTGGAAGGCTGGACGGACTGGTCCTGAATCATGGAACGTTGGGGCCTGTCAGGCGGTTGGTAGATTGTGAGTTGAGCGAGTGGAGAGATGGGATTGAAGTTAATTTCCTCAGTGTGCTAGGGTTTGTGAGTATTTTTATTCCTAATTCCTTTTAGTTTGTGGTTATTTTTATTTTTCATTTTATTTATCCCTTGTGTGTGTTGAGATGTGGTCCGGGCGTAGAATTATTTACAACACCGTGGAAATTTTCAAAACTTGTGCATTGTTTATTCGCTGACTATCAATACATAGCTAAAAGCTGCAATTCCACACTTGCGCAAAACTCGTGGAAAAGTGGTTTTCACATCATCCGGTGCTGCTACATCAGCAACAACTGGCTGGGGATTATACGGCTCCAGCAAGGCGGCTCTGAACCACCTCAACATGACCATGGCACTGGAAGAGCCAGATATCACATCCATCTCCATTCGGCCAGGGATGGTTGACACGAAAATGCAAGAGGAACTGCGAGCGCAGCACATTGACGTTTTGGGACCCGTGCAAGGGAAGAGGTTCCTTGATGCCCATAGAGAAGGCAAGTTGCTCAAACCGGAGCAACCCGGACATGTCATTGCGAAGCTGGTGCTTGATGCTCCGCGAGATTTGAGTGGGAAGTTCCTCACGTAGGTGTAACTTAGTTCTCTTGTACTAAGTCGGACCTAGAACGCTGACTTGGAGATAGGTGGAATTGTCCGGAACTGGCAGCTTTCCAAGAATGATTGGCTCATCAATCAATTTTGGAGGAATTGGTGTGATATAAACTAATGAATGTTTGCTTTGGCGGCATGTGCGTGATCTCGCATCCAGTGTAACACTAGAGCCACATTCGGGTTTTGGCCGGCCAGCGTTCAACTGTATATCCATCTACATTTCTTACCATGTCCCTCTTTCCATATGCATCAATAAAGTTTGAGTCATGGCGTACAAGCTCATTAACCTAATTTCAGGTGTACCACCAATGGGACAATTAAAATAGATAAAATAAAATATGCTGGCATATTCATATAAATTTGTCGACCAAGATTACCAAAATCATCCAAGTAATATCTCATCGTTGTCGTTTCGTTGTTGTTTTTTGCTTCTTTGACGTTTTGTGGGCTGTGTCACTTTTATTATCTCCTGTAATTTCACGATCATTCGATGTAGGGTAACCATTATCTGGAGATCTTTTGCCGGACTTGCGATTCGTTGAAGGATTAGAACCAGAGGGATTGGGCGCTTTATCTTCATCCAGAACGGGCCCACTGCCCCGCTGCTTCGTTTGAGCCTGGTGTCTTAACCGACTGAACGCCTTCTCCATCCTGCTCTTCCCATCAGGTCGTCGATGTGGAGCAAACGCACCCGCTCCCTGAGGCCCTTGAAAGAAGTTGGTGATATTCGATTGAGTGCCCTCCTGTTCTCTGCGGTTCATATCACGAATAACAGGAACAAGCACCTCATCGGTCCTCTCTTGACTCCATCCAATAGTGGACATTAGGAACTGGCGTAGAGCATTGAGATCAGGTACGCCCCATTGGAAGGCTGAAGGATCGGAATCCACCTTAGGTTCGAGATATGCAGTATCGACGCGTTTGTCCGGAAACCCCGGAGGTAAAAATAACTTCGTGACATTCTTCTTGAATTTTTTTCGAAAAATGGAGTGGCTGTCTTCCGGGAGTTTGGCCCCCATTTGCACTTGAGACCACCAATCCCTAAAATCTTCCAACGTTGGAAATTCAGTGAGGATTTCCAGGGCGCTAACAGGACCCACTCCAGGTATCCCTTCAGTATAGTCACTGCCCAGCAGATGAGCAAACTGAATAAGCTTATTTCGATCCAGATTGTATTCCTTTTCAAGGTCGTTGCTAATATAACATTCCACAAACTTGGCTTGGTTGAACATGTTCTTGTAAACACGAGTGCCACCAAAGAGGAAAATATCGCTATCGTCAGTCACGACGCCATCCACCAATCCCAAGGACAACAATTCCGCGCATTGCGCTTCAGCCTCCATTGGAGCAGTGATGTAAGGAAGGCCGAAAAGTCTGAGCAATTCTTGACATTCTGAAACCATAATATGTGAAACTTCATCGGCGTCTCGCTGAGCTTTCTTTTGCTGGGAACGAAGCTGCTTCAATTCCTGCTCATAATTGAATGAATTTTCAGCCTGACTTTTCGAGTTGAGAGTTGATGCAAATCGCGCATGCTCTTCAGCTTCTTTCTGAAGTTGGTGTATTAATTCGTCATCCTCAGGATCTGAAAAGTCATCACTATCGTGGTCATATTGCGTAAAATTGTGGAGTCGGGATGTGTCATCTGAGGAATTGTACATATGAGGTGCTGTCTGTAGTGCCTCAGAAGGACAGTAGATTTCGGCATCCTCAAAATCTGGGCTTGGAGGCAAAATTGCTTCTTGTGTTTTCATTTTGGAATTGGATTTCTCGTTCTGTACGCCCTTGCGGTATGTGGGTTCCCACTCGTAAGCTTCCCCATTATTCTCGACGGAGCCGCGATTATCAGCCTCTTGTTCAACTATACCCTCTGGTTCCATATGCTCCTGGGTTGATGAAAACGTGTTTGCAAGTGGTTCGCGGCTAAAGACTGGTGTATGGCAGGTTCTGCAATTGGAAGTATTCGACTGAATCGGAACGCGATGCGCTTGGTTATCTCTGCCTGCAGTTTCAAGCTCGTTTATCTCAATCCCCCGAGCAACACCCACGTTAAAGTTGATCATTTCGCCCTCCTTAGGAGTATCATCACATCGTCTTGCATCACTAGTTGGATCAACCCCATCAACCTCATTGCCGGGGTCTTGGTTTAGAAGTGTTTTCTCTGTGAGTTTTATGTCGAACCATGGCGGGAGAGCCTGTGGTATCCTCTGGCCATTCGATGTGGGTTCCTCTGAGGACCCAGCTACATCGATAACCTTGTCCCAAGAGATTGGCTTGCGAATTTTCAAAGGTTCAAAAGGTAGTGGTCCGTCGAAAGGATTCGAAATCGGAGCATTGGCCTTGATATTCATTGCTTTAGACTTAGACAACGCAGCAAAGAAATTCATGTCCTCGTCATCAGCTATATCCGAAACATCCTCCTCGCCAATCGCAACCTTGCTAATTTCCTGATTTTTATCAGACGACGATGACACATCTAATTGAAGAACGGCTTGATCGTTGTCTGTTTCCAGGGACATTTGCATTGCGCGGAGGAGATCGTCGTTGTCAGAGGTATCTTGGAATCTCGAGTATTTATGAAGGGTATCATGATCAATTGTGCTTCGAGAAGCTTCTTCTGGAACAAAAAGTGTATCTTTTTCTGAATTCGTCTGGTCGAGGGATTTGTCAACTACTTCTTTCGTTCGGTGATGGGTGACTTTCCTGGAATGCTCGCCAAATTTCTTATCGAAGACGCCTCTATCAAACACTGGTAACTTAGGCAGCCTGTTAAGCCCCTCAATAGGAACATCCTCAAAGTCCTCATCCTCATTTTCCAAGGCATTGTGGTCATCGGATAGTAGTTGTTCTCCATACTCCTCAACATCAATTGGTTTGTTACGTTGACCTTCGTCCTTGTTTCCCAATACTCCCAATGCCCAGCCTCCTTCTACCCCACTGTTTTTCACAAGAACATACTCCTTGCCTCTCTCACCAGCAATTCTAGAGTTACTGCCTATCTCATATAAAGAGTCATCATCAGTCATACCGCTAAGGTGCATCAATCTCTGCGTTAGATCATTCCGCTCCTTTACGCGTTCAATTTGGAATCTGGAGAAAGCCATCCGATCCGGAAACATATTGTCCAACTGTTCCTTCGAATAGCCCATTCGAAGCCTACTTCTTAATCTAGCTGCATTCAAAATGTTATAGCGATCACTGGGAGGCAAATTGACAAAAAAAGGACTGTTAAAGTCGATCTTCGAAAAGTCGTAAAGGCTAATATCTTCCCCCGAATGGAACTGACGTGCATACTCCTCGAGTTCTTCATGTGACATTATACGAGGATCGTTGGGAGCACCCATCTCAGCAAGAGAAACATCCAACTCGGGAAGATGATAAGCATCCTGCTTGCGAAACTGCCTGTTTTTCTGTCGTTCTTCGGGTGTCATATTCAGCTCGTCCACATACACGAAATGGTCCGGGAGTGGTTCTTCAGGTTCAAGATTGTTCGCTCTCATGCGTCTTTGTGTTTCTATCTCTTCCTCAGCTTTTCTCTGGATTTGAACGGCCAAAATTTTTCCAGCAGTTTTGGCCGCATTTTCCCTTTTTCCTTCTCGTCTTTGTTTCCGAGACATAATCGTCTGTCGCTTGAGAGTCGGCGCACCCCCGTCAAAGACGAAGACAGGTTTGATACCAAAATAGAGTAGCTTGCAGATTCGCTGGAAGAAGCCGACAATATGCGCGTTTCGAAGCGCGTTTCCTTCCTTATCACGAACTGCCTTGAGAAATTGGTATATCCATATTGATGCATCAACAGCAAGTCGCTTTCGATTCAAGGTTTCTATCTTGATCGGCCTGGCACAGGGTTTGACAACCGTCCAGAGGCCAGTAACACCCATGATAAGTGGACTGTGGACTCTGAACGAGTTTGAAACGGCGCACGAAAGTGGTTGACATTCAGCATCAACTGATGGCACAGGTCCAGCTAAGCCCCGGGGCGCGAAGTCAAAGCACGAGATAACGGATTATGAATTATCCGGAAATTGCGGCACGAGAAGCCACAACAGAACCCGGGCTTGGCGTTAAGAGTGAACGCGGCTATCTTCGGCGATGGTCACGGGAATCCCAAACCCGCTCGCTGAACGAGCTGGGAGATGGATACGGGAAACGGTTAAGTTGTTATGAATCCCAGGATGACCATCTTCTCTCCTCACTTATTCTCTACCTATATTGCAAGAAAATGGCAACATTGTCCCGAAGAGCTGTGCGAAAGCAGCTGCTGAACTCATTGTGCCGTCTGTACTCAACGCATGTCCCCTCACCTGCGGCACATCTTAATTTGCCGATCAATTATGGCACAACCCCCCTCCTTCACCATTCTCCGTCCACAATATCCTCCTCTGTAGAACTACCAAAGAGCGGAGCGACGAAACGAATAAACCTGTACCAGTCTATCAATTCAGCCCTCCGGACTGCTCTTTCAACGTCAGATCAGGTCCTCTTGTTTGGGGAAGATGTCGCCTTTGGAGGAGTGTTCCGCTGCTCTGTGGATCTACAAACTGAGTTTGGGTCGGAAAGGGTATTCAACACTCCTTTGACAGAGCAAGGAATTGTAGGGTTTGCAATTGGCGCTGCTGCTGAAGGGATGAAGCCAGTGGCAGAGATTCAGTTTGCGGACTATGTGTATCCTGCATTTGACCAACTCGTCAACGAGGCTGCAAAATTTCGATACAGAGAGGGAGCGACGGGAAGCCATGTTGGAGGCCTCGTGGTGCGAATGCCCTGCGGAGGTGTAGGGCATGGTGCCTTGTATGTAACAGTAAACCCTCCGTCCTACAATTCTAGTTTCGGATCAACCATCTAACATCGTACTTAAACTTGAAGGTACCACTCTCAATCTCCAGAATCACTTTTCACCCACATCCCAGGACTACGAGTTATCATTCCTCGATCGCCCACTCAAGCGAAGGGACTTTTGTTATCTTCCATTCTCGAATGCAATGACCCTGTAGTATTCATGGAACCTAAGATCCTCTATCGTGCAGCAGTGGAACATGTCCCGACCGAAGCATACACTCTCCCTCTTGACAAAGCAGACGTAATCAAGCCGGGGAAAGATTTGACTGTCATATCATATGGTCAACCACTTTATCTCTGCTCGGCAGCAATTGAGGCGGCTGAAAAAGCTTTCAAAGGCGTCAGCATCGAACTGATTGACCTCCGCACCCTCTATCCTTGGGACCGGTCGACAATCCTAGAGAGTGTCCGGAAAACTGGAAGGGCAATTGTTGTCCATGAAAGTATGTTGAATGCTGGTATTGGTGCAGAAGTGGCTGCCACCATTCAGGAAGGCGCTTTTTTGAGCCTGGAGGCCCCTGTAAAACGTGTTACTGGTTGGGATATCCACCCTGGCTTGATCTACGAGCGGTTCAATATGCCTGACGTTGCGAGTAAGTACCATTTATTTCCGCAAAGCCACGGCATTATCCAAGTTGGATTTTCCTGACATGGCATACCTATTAGGAATCTTCGACGCGATTAAAACGTCTCTTGAGTACTAAGCTCACGGTTTTCCAATAACCTTATGCACCCAATCGTCTAAGAGTTGCAGAAATCCCTTCAGTAGAACATGTTGAATGAAAAGATTCTTTCTACCTTTTCAGAGCTGCCATTCATCGTTTTGACTCGATCGGCCAATCTCCCAGGTTCTTACCTCTGCAATATGCAGAGTTTCAACATTCTCATTCGTGGTGATCCTGTATCTGTGCCTTTTTTTGGTTTTGAGAATTAGATTTTATATGATTGTATCATTTTTCAAGCATTTTATGAAAGAGATGTGCCACTTCTGTCCTAAACATAACTACTGTATACTTTTTAGAAATTTGCAGCCTAGATAAACCGATACGGTTGATTTATATATGTGCTACTAATTAACTGGTTAATTATATTTACTCTTGATAATGTAACTCTGTTGCTAACAAACTAAATTCGTTTTTATCAGACACTGCAAGGAATATGTTGAAAAGATTTCTTCTTGAGATAAACAAGCATCCATCACTTGCTACATTTGCTTCCCATTCTTAAGAGTATCCACCACACCCACTATGATCTGTTATATACTAGTAAATCTAAAAATATTCAATATAATTTATTCAATATTTTGTTGGAGAATATAGTATTTTAGAACAATATCAATAAAGAAAAATACAAGTAATTATCAAGCATTCATCAACTGCAAACAGAAGTGATGATGAACTATATATAGTAAGAGATGGTTTGAGGGTAGGAGAGGGAGTTTTCCTCAAATCATCTCTAATAATAATAGCCTTCTCGTTACTCCTGAAGTAGGCAGAGATTGCTATCTACTAGTAACTATATGATGATTGAGATTCAATTAGAATAATTTACAGCAGGAGTGTCAGGAGCTGTAAAGCTAACCTTTTAACTAGTTGACAAGCTAGCAGACCTTGTTACTTGTGCAAAACGTGCCCGAAAACCCGTTGCTCAGTTATTTCTCAAAGAAGATGCAAAACCACTCTGGATGTCCATTGGGTCAGACGGTCTTGTAGCACGACTTGGCCAGAATGTGGCTGGGGTTCAAGATTGGATTAGTACAAATCTTTGGACGGGTGGATGGATGAGTTTACTGAGACAATGCACGCCATCCTTATTAAGTTATCGTCAAAAGGATTATTTACATGGACGGAATACTCCAGCGCATGCCGACTAGTTACAGACTTGTACTCGTGCACATGACAAGCCCCTCTCAGCGTGAAGCATCCATGGACGGAGCATGGCCACCCCGGCCCTTTTGGTTGTGGAGACTTCCTGCCTGAATGCGGAGAAAACCTTGGCTGCCCAGTTCGGCTCACGAGGAAGTTGGGAGCAAAACGTCAGTGCTGTTGGAGTTCAAGGCACATCAACACACTGTCCCTGCGTCACAGTCTTTCTCCCTCCGTTTCTCTGGCAGGACAGAATATTCCGCTCCGTCTTTTTGATGATCCATCCGCTCAATACTCAGTTAGTGATGGTAACCCATGCTTAGCGACTCATTTTTGCCCTTGCCCGATCGCGCTGACTGTCCTATCCTCAGCTCAATCTGCCGTTGAACTTCCTGGGTCTCCAGTTTCAAAATGGAAATTCGCGAATTAGAGGGGAAGGGTATGCGATTCTAAAAGCTATTTCTCTCTTCCTTTGTCTTCTTTTTTACTAGTTCCCTCTTGTCTTTCTGTGTCTGCGGATCTTTCGATTAACTTGCTAATCATACCATATCTTGTGCGTTGCAGAAAAACTCGAGGAGGTATCGCGATTGGTAAAATCACTTGCCAAGGATATAAAAACAAGTCATCTTCAAGCTTCTCGTATGTTGCTTTCACGCTGCAACCTATATTCGCCCAATAATAAATATTTCTGTGGACCAGGCTGCCTGACTGTGGGCCCTGTGAACAGAACGCATCGAG